TGTTTTGAAAAACTCAAAGAAAATGTTTCTGTCGACATTATTCATCCAGCTCATGTGGACATGAGTAGGACTAATTCTAATACTACTACTTCAGAGGACTAATAAATCTTCGCAATGTACGCAAGCATTAACAATTAGCTCAATCAGAATGGTGAACCCTAAAATGACTAAGTAGTCTGTTTTCTGAAAATTGGTAATTCTCAACGAAGGCACCTCCCTCCTTAAGCAGATAGCCCTCACGTGCTTTGCTATAATTCATTGCACAACAAACGTCTGAAGATCAACAATCTGTTTTTCGTTGTTAAAAGTACCATTCTTAAAGTAAGACATTAAAATGTTCGCCTGAGTATAATACGTCTAAGATATATAATGCAGATATGCATTATCATGTGCCTATTTTTATGCTTCCCTCTTATCCTTTTATTAGAATATTCTGAATTTTTTATCTCGAATTTATGTATATTTTTCCAGTTGAATTTATAGTTTGTGGCGTTGCTGACTTTATTCATGGTTTCAAATAATGTATAACGTTTGACAATTGTACATGTAGTTAGGCCTTTTGTTTTGTACCGAATGCTATCCGTATTTATTTCACATTTACTTCAGAAATTTGAGAGCGAGAGAAAGAAAACAAGGTGTATAAATGAAAGCGTGCATGAGCCAAAACAATATCCGGCATAATGAACTCTGTCGCGCATTACAAATGTATCCGAATACCGTCACTTGTTATTGATATGGAGCTAAATAAACCTGGAGCTAAATTTGCTTTACTGTTCTGTTAGACGGTGCATAAATGCATAAAATGAGTAAAACAAAATGCAGGAAAACAGAAAAATAAGCATATTTTCTCAATTTACAGTGTTAGACAAAACATTTAACTTAGATTTGAAGCAAAAATTTACAGATTTTGAGGACAATCTGATCTAATTTAATTTGTTTCAAGGAAAGAAAGAATTCGAGTGAGGAAGTAAAAACCCAGGTAAAGAAATCAATAGGCAAAGTACACACAGAAAGAAAAAAAAAAAAGCTTCCATCTACAGTGAAACAAAGCAAAACCCTCTTTTAGAAACATGAATCATCTGTTGGAAAAAGAGAAATAAATATAACTAATCATCAGTGGCGTAGCTAGGGTGGGGCAAGGGGGGGGGCATCTGTCGCCGGGCGCAACATCCAAAGGGCGCCAAATTGATGCTACGAAATTTTTTAATGAAATGTTTTCCATTCTTGGCACACAGAAAGGGGCGCAAATTCTTCAGTTGTCCCCGGGCGCTGGTCTATTCTTCTTCTATCTTTCTTATCGCTTGAGGTCTTTGACCCTTTCCTAAGCGAAAGTGAAAGATGAAGGAATTTTTCGTCCCTTGAGTGGACCTAACCCATAACCCATAACGTTAAACCCATAACGGTTTCGTTCTTCACTTTAGCTATGCTCAATCTTAATTACTCAATTTATTTTCTTAGCGAAGTTGTGGAGGTTATTGCATTTATTTGCAAAGGTACTTCGGAAGCAAAACGCCTTGGGCCGGGCGCTGGAAACTCTAGCAACGCCCCTGCTAATCATAGATGGATATTTAACAAATATTTTGACTTTTTTCTACTAAAATTATAAACGAAGAGAATCGAGTTGATAAAATGAATATACTTTGAAATCTTTCGCATTAAAAAAATGTAACTTCTGTGTTCATTTAATTAATTCTTTACTATTTTCTGAACTAATATCTTAGCTTGCCATGCTTAATTATCTTTTTACTCGATAGATGGCGTTTCGTTTACTTTGTATTTGCTGCATCCGTTAATTTTTTTTGTATAGCTGGTAATTTCTCGGAATTAGTAATCATATATCTGAAAGTTTCAGAATGTAATGGATTTAAATAAGTAAAAAGAGAGGGTGCTCTATATACAGTTTAACACCAAAAATTTGGAATAAGACCGGATAATCGTAAAATATGGTTAATCAGATTGCATGTTTTAGGCTAAATAACTAATTACTATAATGTCAAGTTCTGAAATTTGTATTTTTACTTTGGTTGTCCGGTTGTGTTTTAAAAAAATATTATATTTTGAAAAAAGAGAATATTAAAGAAAATGCAAAACGCGTTTAATTTGACAATGTGAAAATGAAATTATTCTTTATTTCCCTGCTTCTATAGCTCATTTCAAGTAAAATAAAATCCTAAAAACAATTTTAATTTTCTTATATCACAAAATAAACGTATGACATTATTTTTATCTTCATTTTAGTAAAATAGAGGAATTACTTTTTATCTGCAAAACGATAAAACAAAACGCACTTGTTTTATACCGAATAAATAAATTTAAATGATCCGGCCACCAAATTTTTGATTTATCTATGAAATAATTACTATAAACCTTCTATAAAATAAACGAAGAAAAGCATATACAAATTCGATTTTTCAACTTGCATCTTTTTCCAATGAAATAAAATTTGATTTAAACCAACACCTGGTTTTATATTATTTGCCTACCTGATAACAATATTTTTCCTATTTTTGAACAAAATAATTGAATACAAAATACAATACTAATGTTTTTGGTAAATTACCGGTACTTACGTATTATCGCAACCAGGTTGGCGCGATTTGTAAGTGTCAGTAAAAAAGTACGAATAGAAAGAAAATGCACATTTATTAATTACAGATAATTTTTAATACAGTTTTTTTTATATTATTTTGTTTTAAAATATAAAATAGCAATTAAACCCATGTTTCGAATTTGAATAAGTTGCAGAATTATTTTTTCGGTGGAAATCTTTTGGCTATTGCTTTTAGCACTGATTGAAAACCGTTTCCGCCATTAACAGCTTGAGCTTGGCGCCATATAAATTCGATAAGGTATGAGTAAAGATGATGACGGGCTATTCCTCTCTGTTTTTTGTTGCGCCAAATTTAATTGAGGTTAACTCTTTACACCAACAATAAATGAAGCGCACCGCTATCACAAATGAAATTCGGCTACCTTCAAACCAATTTCCGGTTCTCACACCCAAATGTTGATTGCACTCTTCGACGTTACATTTCCAGAAGATTTGCTTTCCAAAATACAGTTTCATTTTATGAGAATTTTTACAGTACGTTCGTTCGGTATAATTACATATCCCTGCACCAATTCAACAGCATCTTTTTCACTCGCAGGCAGATCCCAAATACCCATAGTTAAAGTATTTCAGGGCATTCAATCTAACCAGTAAGAAAAATAATTTCTTTACGAAAAACTACATATAACACGTAGGGTTGCCGTAATTAGGGTCGCCAAATTTGGCGATTTATGCGATTTTGGCCTGGTTGCGTTAATACGTAAGTACCAAATTACCTTGAACTGTGCCATTTTGCTTGAATTAGTTCATTTTTAACCATTATTGCAAGGTGCCCAGAAAAAAGCTTATTCAGATCAACACTGCTTTTACTTTACTGTACTGCAGTATAGCACGTGTAATACTAGCACAAGACCATAATGTGGATAACTGATCAACACAATCAAATTAGGATACACTTCTGCCTTCCGTACGGGTATACATTTGTAACAACCTATATAAACCTTTCAATTTTTGTTCCTTGCTAACAATAATAAGTACTATTCGGTTGTGAGGGCCGTAAAAAATCGCCAAACTATTGTTGATGCCACTGCTGCCAAAAATAATTGCGGCAAACCTAATGCAAAAAAGGAAGTTATAATAGTAAATAACTATCTAAGATTGATGCTTTAAATTTAGATGAAAGGTTAATTTCATATAATACTTATATATAATTATTATAATTTATATAAAAAAGGCTAATCATGACTGAATGGAAGCATAAGAGTAAATAACTATTTCAGATCATTATTATAATTCATATAAAAACTGCTAAACATAACTGAATGGATGCCTGCATCGCTATTTCGCTACCGAGTTATCGCTAAAGCATAATTTCATCTCGTTGGTTGTTCAAACATAATTTTCTATAATGAATGATGCCTTTTCTTTTAAAAATTCTCGGTAAAGTGCAGAATCGCCCACTTATTTGTTTGCCGCTTTTTACAAGGGTAAAAACAATTGAATTTTTGTCAATTTTCTTTTACTTTTTAAGTGAAAATAGGTCGATGTGTACATAGATAAAGTCAAGGGTGTGCGCAGTGGCATTTTTGTGCAATTTTGGGATTTTTTTAAAGTGAAAATAGGTCGATGTGTACATGGATACCGAGTATGTGCAATTCTTAAAAACGCGTCAAGCAGTGGATAATTCTGCACTTTACCCAAAATTCTATTGCTTTGAGATTAAAGTCCCAGCTTCCCTTCTGCAAATCAAGATCCAAATCAAGAGTTTCACCAAAGGCTAAAAAGAAGTTTTCGCGCTCTGTTAAATGGGTGCGTTTGCTAGATTTGGCGCTTTTGCGCATATATTTTCGCTGCAATTTTTTTACGGTCCTCAAAACGGAATAATACCCAATAATAATTTATGCAATTTAACTTAAAGCAGCTAGTATTATAAAGATATTAAACGTTTGCATTGCGATTGCTTTAAACTTAATTCACAGTTATTCATTCTAATACATTCAGTTTAATACTTTTATTATCTTTTATTATGAAAATTTAATTTTAACTTTTGAATTACGTTTTACTGTCTTTTGTCTTAAAATTTAAGTCTTCTGGTCTAATAGATTTAGTTTTATATTTTTAGTAACTTTCATCATAAAAATTTTATTTTTAAATATTCTATTAATCCTTTTATTTTTGTTGATTGATTGATTTTAATTAAGACTTAGCTCAATAAGATATATGCCAAGAGAGGGATGCTATCGTGCTCAGTTTTTTTAAGGAAGAGTGGCTCATATTTACTTTAAACTTTGGGAAACGATGAAAATGCATCCACCTTATGCAAGTACCCCGCTTGCTAGGATTCACACCAAAGTGGAACTACCAGTGTTCCACGATCAGCTTAGATCAACTTAGATCCAGTTTCAATTTTAGTTGAAATTCATCATATCGAGGGGGCGGAAATGCTTACCTTTATATCAGCACAAACGGCAGAAAGCAGATCTTCAATTGCCTTGAGATTAAAATCCCTGCTTCCGTTCTGCAAAAGAATAAGAAAACTTAGATCCAAATCAAGAGTTTCACCAGAGGTTAAAAAAAGTTTTGTTTTTTGTAGCACAAGTGCATATATTTTAGAAATTTTAAAAGTGATAGTAACGTATCTTAGAAAAGAAATGACATGTATATTATACTAGCGAAAATATAAGACTATTTTTTATTTTATAATGCCCTTTGGGAAGCTTCACTCATCTTGCCTCTTAAGACAAATTGTTGAAAAATATTGTTATGAAATGTCCAGACGCGGTAAGATGGCTTCCCCCGCAAAGCAGTTTTAGGGTTGCCATAAAATGGCAAAGAAAGACAGGATTGCCACATTTGGCGAGAAATCGCCCATTTGGCGACTAAATTGCCGATAAACCATGGACGGATGGAGAACCTTCTGGAATGAATTCTTATCGGTTTAGCCCAGAATGTTCTCGAGCACAAGCCGAAAGCTATATAAACCGCTGCTGGTCCGCAGTACACACATAATGAGGTGTGCAAACTGTTAAGGACACGAAGCTATGATGTATCGAAGTGGACAAGTAGTATTTACTTGAACAATGAACTTAACAAAAGTGTACTTTGAATTTATCTAAAGTCAACTTAGAATTCAGTTTATATGAACATAGAATAGCTTACACAACATCATATACTTTGGGCTATGGAACTATCAACTGCCTGAACTGACGTGACTGGCTTACTCTGTGGATAACTGCAAAAATAATACGGACACACATCATTAGGTATGTAACTGATAAGAACATGAAGTTATGACGTATTGAAGAAGACCTAGGTTTAAAAACTGGTTAATATACAAGTTCCACTCACCACAACATAGATCCTATCCATGACAATGTAATTATTAATTGATCGTATATTTATTTTTCATACGGATTATTATGTAACAATTATTGTATAGATGACATTGTCAATTTAGCATTGTAATATTACTATCATTGATTCAGTGAATGCCGCTGGCGTGGATGGTAGATTCTTTTCCGTCGCATGGACATATAACTCTGATTGGTGTAGAACCTCAGGTCGGAGTCCATGCGACTGCATATCAGTCAGTGTGTGTGTGCCTCGTAGAGTGTTTCATCTAGTTAGTCCGTGCGGAGACGATCGAGTTGACAGCCGGCCAATGAGTGCCGAGTGGGTCGTCGAGTGAACCGAAGGAGTCTCTTAGTGTATCGCGGTTAGTGCATCTTCAAAAGAGCGTGTTGAGCTCCGGGAACGACTGAACCGAAGAGTCGGGAACTATGCTCTGTGTGTCGTCGAGTGCATCGCGAGTTGTAGTGTGGAGAGCCTCGAGAGTACGTGAAATTCCGAAAACGACCAAGCAGAGTCAGGAGCTGTACTCTGGTGCTTTGCAGTGAAGCTGTCTCTACCGTTACAGCCTGATAACCTGAAGGCTGTGTCGCTGATTGTTCCAGCGAGTGCATAGATCTTCGACTAGGATTAAACTAATTTTACGATCAGCGACTCTTCACCATAACCGCGAATGGGCAAATTTTTTGCACACAGTTGGGGCAATTTTTTTTCCACCCCAGTTGGGACAATTTTTTCCCACCCCAGTTGGGGCAATTTTTCCCCCACCCCAGTTCGGGCAATTTTTTTCCCACCCCAGTTGGGGCATTTTCCCACCCCATGGGCCAAATTTTTCCACCAGTTGGGGCAATTTTTTTCCCCCCCAGGGGCAATTTTTTTCCCACCCCAGTTGGGGCAATTTTTTTCCCACCCCAGTTGGGGCAAATTTTTTTTCCCACCCCAGGTTGGGCATTTCCCACCCCGTTGGGCCTTCCCACCCCAGTGGGCAATTTTTTCCAACCCATTAGGTCCCCCCATTGGGGCATTTTTTTGGGCATTTTTTTCCCCCAGTGGGGCAATTTTTTTCCACCCCACATTTGGGGATTTTTCCACAGTTTGGGGCAATTTTTTTTGGGCCACCCAATTTGGGGCAACTATAATTACAATCAAAAAAATTTTATTTGGTTGTTGTTGTGATACAACTTAGTTGGCGCCTTGTGAAAATCAACGCTGTAGTCAGCTGCCTGGTGTGTCTGTACTTGGAATCGGCCCCTCTCCATTAAGCTGAGTCAGAATATGTTGATGAATGGGTAAACTAGGTAAGAAACGTATCTCAAAATCGTAAAAACAACCTTGTATTTAGCGTAAGTATATTGAAACACTCATCGATTTCTAGGGCAGCTAAAGGTCTCACCTCATCAGAAAAAGAATATATAGTAAGAAGAAAATACAGGGAAGAGTCTCAAAACAAGTGGCCCTTTTTTTTCTTCCCACCCCAGTTGGGACAATTTTTTTCCCACCCAGTTGGGGTTGCAAGTTGGTTTTTCCCCATCCCAGTTGTGGTTCCCCACCCCAGTTGGGGCAACTTTTCCCCCCACCCCAGTTTGGGACAATTTTTTTCCCACCCAGTTGGGCAATTTTCCCCATCCCAGTTGGGCTATTTTCCCCACCCCAGTGGGTCAATTTTTTCCACCATTTGGCCCCATCGGTCAATATTTTTCCACCCAATTTGGGGCAACTACAATTACAATCAAAAATATTTATTTGGTTGTTTGTGGATAAACTTAGTTGGCGCCTTGTGAAAATCGACGCTGTAGTCAGCTGCCTGTGTTGTCTGTACTTGGAATCGGCCTCTCTCCATTAAGCTGAGTCAGAAATATGTTTGATGAATGGGAAACTAGGTGAGAACGTATCTCAAAAATAGTAAAAACAACCTTGTATTTAGGGTAAGTATATTGAAACATCGATTTCTCATCAGAAAAAGAAATATTAGTAAGAAGAAAAATAAAGGGGAAGTCTCTCAAAACAAGTGGCCCTTTATTTTTCTTATTACTATGTATTTCTTTCGCCTGATGAGGTGAGACCTTTAGCTGCCCTCGAAATCGATTGAGTGTTTCAGTATACTTACGCTAAATACAAGGTTGTTTTTACGATTTTGATGTCCACATTAGCGGTTTCTCTTCTAGTCCAAGAAACGTATCTGTTGTATTTCAAAGAAGACTTGAATATTCCCGACGACATGTGTCTTTTAGAGCCACGAATGTGCTGATATAAGAATAAGGCGTCAGCCTACACAGCTTCCTTGATATAGAGGCTGCTAATTACATATTTGCAATTCAAAGCAACCGCGACTGTTTATGATAATCAGGGCACTGGATGCAATCACTCACTTTCGGTCCCCATGGCCTCTAAACTGGATGCTGGAAGATGGCATTCATTACTGTAATCTCTAACGCGTATTCGACCACCAGTGTCTAAGTAAAAGCGGGTATCTTTAAGAAGCATGATTACTTGGTAATTTGCACTCCTGCGTTCATGTGACCACAGTGACCTGAACATCGATGGTTCACTCATTTAAGCAATTTTCCGCGTACGAATAAATTCATACAGTGATCTGCGCAGAATATTCTCACGAATCGTAGAAAACGGCCAAGCATACTTAAAGTTATGATTATGTGTAGCAGTAGCTGGTTCCTGGTAGCCACATTTATCATTGCTTGGTGCTGTGACATACGTAATTAAATTCGGAACTTTCTCCTTCATTGGTTCTTTTCAGTTTACGATTTTTATACTCGTATCATTATCATGATATGATGTTTTGTCCGAGCACAGCAATGTCGCTGCATTGCGAAAATCGTATCCTGTTGTACGCAGGCTTTTCATTCATCTCCTTTAGAATCAAGTAGCTGCCCGAAACGGTATAGTGTTTAGCGACGCTGAATGCAGTGCCGGAACCGGGGTCGAATTACGGCGAAGGCAAAATTGCCCGAACTGGGTAAAAAAAAATTGCAACTGAAATAACATAAATTTAAAGAGTTTTTAAAATTATTGTACATTTTATATCCGTGTGCTTACTTTGATCCTTCATTAGGATTAAACTATTTTTACGATCAGCGACTTTTCACCGTAATCGCGAATGGGCAATTTTTTCCCCACCCCAGTTGGGGCAATTTCTTCCCACCCCAGTTGGGCAATTTTTTCCCCACCCCAGTTGGGGCAATTTTTTCCCCACCCCAGTTGGGGCAATTTTTTCCCACCCCAGTTGGGGCAATGTTTTTCCCCATCCCAGTTGTGGTTCCCCACCCCAGTTGGGGCAACTTTTCCCCCCACCCCAGTTGGGGCAATTTTTTTCCCACCCCAGTTGGGGCAATTTTTCCCCATCCCAGTTGGGGCTATTTTTCCCCACCCCAGTTGGGTCAATTTTTTTCCACCCCATTTGGGCCCCAGTCGGGTCAATATTTTTCCACCCAATTTGGGGCAACTACAATTACAATCAAAAATATTTATTTGGTTGTTTGTGATAACAACATAGTTGGCGCCTTGTGAAAATCGACGCTGTAGTCAGCTGCCTGTGTTGTCTGTACTTGGAATCGGCCCTCTCTCCATTAAGCTGAGTCAGAAATATGTTTGATGAATGGGTAAACTAGGTGAGAAACGTATCTCAAAAATAGTAAAAACAATCTTGTATTTAGGGTAAGTATATTGAAACAATCGATTTCTCATCAGAAAAAAGAAATATATAGTAAGAAGAAAAATAAAGGGGAAGAAGTCTCAAAAACAAGTGGCCCTTTATTTTTCTTCTTACTATGTATTTTTTTCGCCTGATGAGGTGAGACCTTTAGCTGCCCTCGAAATCGATTGAGTGTTTCAGTATACTTACGCTAAATACAAGGTTGTTTTTACGATTTTGATTGTCACATTAGCGTGTTTCTCTTCTAGTCTAAGAAACGTATCTGTTGTATTTCAAAGAAGACTTGAATATTCCCGACGACATGTGTCTTTTAGAGCCACGAATGTGCTGATATAAGAATAAGGCGTCAGCCTACACAGCTTCCTTGATATAGAGGCTGCTAATTAGAATATTTGCAATTCAAAGCAACCGCGACTGTTTATGATAATCAAGGGCACTGGATGCAATCACTCACTTTCGGTCCCCATGAGGCTCTAAACTGGATGCTGGAAGATGGCATTCATTACTGTACCCTCTAACGCGTATTCGACCACCAGTGTAATCTAAGGTAAAAGCGG